AATCAGACCATTTCTGTCATTTGTGACCTGTTTCTTTGTCTCCACATTTTTTATGCTTCCTTGTGTTGATAGAGTGGCTTTCTGTGGCTCACTGGGCATAGGGCCCAGTGGCTCAGCCTCCCCAATTACCTGAGGTGGACACTCTTGGTGCGCCCCTTTTTGGGCTGTGTGCACAGTCTTGTTGTAGTTAAGCCTTGATTGTTGTTGGTATCACTGGGAAGAATTGACCTTCAGGCCAATTGGCTGTGAGAATGAAGCTGTGTCTATAGTGGGAGAACTTCTATGCTGGAGACACCCTTCTGGGGCAAGACTTGCTTCAGTGGGGCTTTGGTGCACACTGAGTTTGCCCCGATTGTCCCTTATGGATCTGAGGAGTTGTAATCTGGGTGGTCCCCTCTGACTACTGGGTACACTGGCTCTTGGATCTCTAAGGAGGTGCTAATTTAGCCTCTGCCTGAGGCTACTCAGCAGGAGCTATGGAGAGATCTTCAGATTCCTCTTCTTTGTTTGGGGTTTGGAGGTGCCCAGATGAGGCCCAGCTGTGAAGCAATGCAAGCTGCTGTGGGGCCTTGGGCCTTCTTTTGGATGTTCTGGTTCTTTCTGACCCAGCTGCAGTTTGTAAGGTATTTTTAGATCTCAAAGGGCCAGGCCTTTCATATGCAAAAGCCTTTGTGCACAGCTTGGGTGGGGCGGGGTCTCAGGAATCAACAGGGCGGAGCAAACAGCTATGGCCCATCCTCAGCCCTGCCCTAAGGGGCCCCGTGTCTCAGTGCCCCGCGGTAATCGCTGCAAGCACCTCTGAGAGAAAGCCACCCTCGAGTTCCGCCCAATGCCAGACAGTCCAGAATCCGGGTCCCCAGAGACTCGCAAGGAACTGGAGTTCAGAGCAGTTGGGAGCATGTGACTCCCTCCTGATTGAAAAAGACAACTGTCTCCTCAGTTGCCAGCCCTTTCCGTGTGGGGCTCTGTACCTCTGCACTGTACTTCGGCACCTCCTCTGAGTCTCTGTGCTTTTCTCTTTCCTTCTAGTTGTAGAATTTCCACTCAGCCAGCCTTCCAGTGGTTCTGGATGGTGTCCGTTTTGTCTTTTAGTTGTATTTTTGAAGTGGTTGTGCAAGGCCGCAATTTCAGGTGTTTACCTATGCCGCCATCTTGGTTTCTTGTATCTAGGGTGGGAATCTTTAGAGTAAATACCCCAGGAGGTTACAAAGTGCAACTTTATAAGTAGCACGTGGAAAAATTTTATACAATAAAAAGGAAAAAAAGCATTCATTGGCACCCAAGTCACTAACCCAACAGGCAGCCTATATTTCCTTAAAACAAAGTGCCAAAAATAAACATCTGGCACACTCTATCCTATCTAATAAAAGAGAAACATGCAAATTGACCATAACCCCGACAACCTTCCCACTGGATAACCCCCGAATGCTTCCCATTGGCTAATCAGCAGAATCTGCAAATTAACTGCCAACCAAGATGGCGGTGGGCAGCCGGGCAGCTTGCTTGCTCCAGTGACGGAGGAAGCCAACATTCCCGGCCTGCAGCAGCCCAGCTCTGAGCTCCGTTTGCAACAATGTTGCAATTATAGAAGCGAAAGAAACCCCAGATTCCTGCTTTCAGCTGGCAGCGGGCTCAGAGCTTAGAGTGCCAGTGATGGCAACAGAGTTTCAATTATAGAAGCTAAACAAAGCCTAGATAACCTGCTTTCAGCAGCTGAGCCTCAAGCTGGAGCCGGCCTCAGAGCTAAAGCCGGCTCTCAGCTCCAGTGCAGCCATAGAAGGTAAATAAATCCCAGAATAAAAAAAAAAGTAAAAAAAAAAAAGGAGGAGTTGGATGCTTTAGTCACCCGCCAGTCTGAAAAAGGCCCTCAGCCCCTCATCCAGACTGGCCAGGCTCACGAGGGGGACCCCCACCCTAAAGGGGGTGCGGGCAGCCTAAAAACAGCCATCTGCCCCTCACCCAGACTGGCCAGGCACCCCAGTGGGGATCCCCAGCCTAAAGAGGGTGCAGGCAGCCTAAAAACAACCATCAGCCCCTCATCCAGGCTGGCCAGGCACCTCAGCGGGGACCCCCACCCGAAAGGGGGTGCGGGTAGCCTAAAAACAGCTATCAGCCCCTCAGCCAGACTGGCTGGGTGGGGGCAGCCTAAAAGGGGGTGCGGGCAGCCTAAAGGGGGTACAGCAGCCTAAAAACAGCCATCAGCCCCTCATTCAGGCTGGCCAGGCACCCCAGTGGGGACCCCCACCCGAAAGGGGGTACGGGTAGCCTAAAAACAGCTATCAGCACCTCACCCCTCAACCAGTGGGGACCCCCACCTTAAAGAAGGTGTGGCCAGCCTGAAAACAGCCCTCAGCCCCTCACCCAGACTGGCCAGGAACCCCAGTGGGGACCGCCCCCAGAAGCCTCAGCAGCCGGTCTTGCCTTGCGGCCTGGGAACCACCCATCAGCGGTCCAGGCTGGAAGGCAAGGCCCGCCCCCAGAAGTCCCTGCAGCAAGTCTTGCCTTGGGGCCTGGGATCCGCTCAACAGCGGGTCCAGAATGCAAGGCAAGGCCTTCCCCCAGAAGCCCCAGCTACTTTAAAAATAGAAGGATCTCCTTTTGAACCAATCTGTTTAGATTCATGATTAGTAAAAGAGTATGGAACTAATGAAATACAGTGATAGGAATTAGGAAGTGACACTGATGGTTCTGGGCATGTGAAGGGTGAGGGACAGAAGGGTATACATGGTCTCCCCTCAGATCTGCTGAAGAAATGAGCTCTGAGGGCCAGAGCTGCTTCATGCCCAGAGGAGGTGGGTGTGGTCAGTGGCTCTGTTTCAGAACTTCTTGCCACGCAGAGACCTTACTCAACCCACAGGAACCTTTTTACTCCAGAAAACAGAAACAGCCAGTTCCCAACGGGCATGGGAAAACCAGTGTCCCCTCCTGTGCACGGTGTCCTGATGGAGTGATAGGGGAGGTGGGCGAGGGGAGCAGTGCAGAGTTGTTAGGCAGCTGGAGTGGAAGTGGAAATGCCATGAAATGTCCACAGTCCTGGCTGTGCCCACGGCCTGGGCTGCTCCTCCAGGCACTGGCTGAGGGATTAGGGCTAATTCTCTCGGGAAGGGAATAT